GGGTTGCGACCAGAGTCACGGAACGGATTAAGATCGTAACCCGAGGTACCACTGTATTAGGATGTTTATGGGACAACATAGGCTGGTTATCCTTCAAGTCCCCTGAATCCAGTATAATTCTATCCCTACTTCTTGTAGGATTGCCTTCCCCCAGTGGAGCTGGGATCTGGGGGTTCTCCTGCACTCAGATCCTGCTAGAACAATGGATGGAGGCAGCTGGTGCACAGAGCAAGATGTTCTGATAACTATCATACATGCTCTCATCATTTCACAACTAAATCACTGTAATGTTTTGAGGTGTTCCTCGAAGACTTCTCAGAAACTCCAACTAGTTCAGAATCCAGTGGCCTAACTGCTGACAGGTCAGACTTAGTTTAGTAAACTCGTGGCTATCTTGCAGGAGACTCATTGATTATAAGAAGGTATAATTTCAAGTGCTGGTTATTATTATAAGTGTGCAATAACTGGGTCCAAGGTGGGCAAGGGTGCCTTAGAACTGGTATGGACACCTCTCTCTACCTGTCAGCTGCTCTTTAAAGAAGCAGCACCTTTTCTCAGGTTTGCACGGTAATTGCCCAGGCTCACAAAAATATGTGTTTGAATTATGGAGGCAGTGACAGGGTTAGTGGTTAATGACAGCTAGTGATATTTCTAGAACTTTAAAGTTAGGATTTTTGAAGACACGATTTTCTACTCCCAGCTGCCCAGTCTTATAATCTGTGAAGCCTGCAAATGTTGCGGGTCCTGTCAACTAAGGAGCTACACTTGGCAGCTCCTAGGCAGCAGGCCTTTTCCGCTGTGGCCCCCACTTTATGGAACATTCTTCCCTTCCAAGTGAGGCTGGCTTCATCCCTTCTAACTTTCCAGAAGTCCCTCAAGATCTGGTTGTGCCATCTGGCCTGGGGACCCCAGGGGACTGGTGAAATATTGAGATGGCTCCAGTGTAATTAACACCTGTGCCTCGCCTTATATTTTTTTAAAAATTTCTTTTTAGCTTATGTCTTTTATAGTTCTAAAGTTTTTAATAATGATGGTATTAATAATTGTCTGTACATATTTATTGTTTTTAGTTTTGTTGTATGC